ATCCACTCACTCAGCCTCCCAAAGGCGCGGGATTACAGGCTGAGCCACCGAGCCCGGCTGGATATATTTTTTGATAGGAAAACATTGGGGTCTCTTTTTCTTACTTTTACCTAGAATGCCTTATTTAAAAGTGCCTTGAAAACATTTTGGCTTCTCTTCTTCAACACTTATGAAGCTGAGGGTTTTCTCGAGCTTCAGAGAAAAGAAGCTTTAAAGGAATCTGCAGCCAGCTGCTTCATCTCACTTTGCTATTTTTCAAAGTAATTGCCCACCTGTGAATGGAGGAATGTTTTTGTGTTTATTGGCAACATGTTGATGTGTCTTTAATAATGACAGCAAGCATTTTAAAACTGCATTTGTCATCTTTTTTTTTTTAAAAATATTTTCTTTTTTGTTGTTGTTTTTGAGTTGGAGTCTCACTCTGTTGCCCAGGCTGGGGTGCAATGGCATGCTCAAGGTCACCCCAGGGTCGACCTGCTGGGCTCCAGTGATCCTTCTGCCTCAGCCTTCCAAGTAACTGGGACGATAGGCACGCACTACCATGCCCGGCTAATGTCATCCTTTTTAGATCTTCATTATTAAATTTTAAAATGTAGTATCTTTTTCTTATCTCCTACATTAGTATAACATCTTAAACCACATTATTTCAACTGATTTTTCTTACCTGTATTTCTCTCATTGTAAATTATCCCTAAATATAATGGTCTTTTATATTCAAATTTTGCTTAATTTTTCTGATTTATGAAGGGGTTAAAAGGAAGAGTTTACCTGAAAGATTCCATTTCCAGTTTTAAAACGTAATTCATGTTTTGAATAACAATATTTTTGCAAACTGAATGTAAACATTTCAGAAGCCAATAGCCTCATTAAATTTAGGCAAAATTAGAATTTTTTTTCTTTTTCTTTTTCGTTTTTTTGAGTGAGTCTCATTCTGTCACCCAGGCTGGTGTCACGCTCATGGTCATCATAGTCCTGACCTGTTGAGCTCAGGTGATCCTTCCACCTCAGCCTTCCAACTAGCTGGAACCACAGGCATGTGCCACTACATGTGGCTAATGATTTTATTTATTGTAGAGATGAGGTCTCACTAAGTTGCCCAGACTGGTCTCAAACCCCAAGCCCAGACAATCCTCTCGCTTCCACCTCTCAAAGTGCTGGGATTACAGGCGTGAACACCATGCCCGGCAATTTTTTTCTTTTTAAATTAAAAACTAGGTATCTTTTTTATAAGCAGTTCAAAAAAACACTAAATTTTAAGTCAGTGGGTATTATAAAAGACATATACAAAACATCCTTCCTGTACTAAGATATATGCTTGCTAGTAGGTTTTTCTGTTGTTTATTTTTTCCCCTATAACATTTAATTATTACTAAAACTGTACTCATAATAGTTGGCACCAAATCAAATTATAATTCAAATAAAATCTAGTCTTTGATACATAGGATGATATAAAAAGGTCTTCACTTAGAAATAATGATTTCTAAAGTTTTAGAAAACAAAACTGATAAGAGGTGAAAAGATTTGAACATTTATTTATAAATCAGTAACATCAAAATGGAGAAAAGAAATGAAAGCTTTTCAGAAAAATGAGGCAAATATAAATATACCACATTTTTAAAATTTATTTTTATGAGAGCTTCTTTTAAGATTTGTAAAAACCTATTTTGCATTCCCAGGAGTCTGTTTATTGTATTTTACATGATCTACAACATATACAATTGTGTATTTTGTCTTTGATTGAACCTATAAACAAAGAAGTATTTTAATAAAAAATTGAATTGTGTGTGAGTCATATTTTTTGTTAATTTCAGCATAGAACACCAAAATAAATTTGACATTCCTGTTTAATGAAGTTAACATTTAAGGAATCAGCAAAAAAAAAAAAGTTCTTTCTGGATGTCTCTACAAATTCTATAGGAGTAGGAATCTTTGTTGTTTTTGCTTTTGTTTTTTTGAGTTGGAGTCTCACTCTGTTGCCCAGGCTGGAGTGCAGTGGCATGCTCCTGGCCACCACAGCCTCAACCTGCTGGG